AACACTTTTGAGGCTTGCTGTTAAGTTTCCTTAGGCAGGACTAGAGCAGACTTTAGTCTAGGGTAGGAGTTGGCAAACTGTGGACCACAGGCCAAATCAAGCCTGCTGCCTGCTTTTGTAAGTAGTGGAACACAGACATACATTCATTTATGTTCTGTCTATGGCTGCTTTCATGCTACAACAGCGGATTTGAATAGTTGGACAGAGAACATATGGCCTGCAAAGCCAAAGATATTTACTTTCTGTCCTTTTACAGAGAAATTTTGTCCATCCCTGGTTTAGGGCTTATTTGCTTACTACTCAGACAATATCCTCCTGAGACTTCTCCTGCAGGCCCTGGGTGTTAGGAGGGTTTCCACTCTGCTTAGGGAAACATAAGTTGTTCCTGGTCCTGTGAGCACCAGTGATTGTCCCAGCTGATCCTTTCCAATGGTTCTCTCCACATCCTCAGTAGTTTCCTCCATGCCTGTGTTCCTCAGCTGTCAGCAGGAGACTCGGGGGCTCTCTGCTGGTCTCTGGAGTTTGCTGTGTGCAGCTCTCTGCCTTCCAGTATTCTGTCTTGCAAATTCCTCAACTCAGGGAGACTGCTGGACTCCACTGGGCCCCTCCCCACCACCATGCTGCAGCCTGGAAGAAGCGGGGCAGGCTTGGGCTTGCCTGGCTTGTCCCCTTCTCATAGGGACGACTGTGCTGTGCTGCCTGTTGTCCATAGCTGCAGAGAGTTTGTCTGGGTCGTTCAGTCTGTGACTCTATCATGGCTGGAAGGGGAAGTGGAATCCGAGGCCTAATGGCCATTGCCCAACTTTTAGGGCAGTCCGCAGTGTTCTCAGTGTCATTCCCATGAGCAGCCTTGACACAGCAGCAACTGCTGTCCATAGTCTTCCACCTGGCCCGGAGGGAAGTGGGAGATGGGCGGATGACAATTCCTGGCCTGTCGACCCCAGAGGCTGCTGTGGGTCTGATGGGGTAGGGCTCGGTTCTGTGGGAGGAGGAGGAGGGTAGACACAGCTGCTGTCTGCAGGCCCCGCGCTGCCCCTCACCTTGCCGGTTCACCTTTTCCTCCAACAGCCTTGTGGGTGGGGACTGTTGTGATCCCCATGAGGAAACTGAGACACTTGCCCAAGGTCACACAGCTTCCCAGAAGGAGCAGAGATGGGTCCAGAGCCTACACTGCCCCTTTCTGGGTATCCACCATCAGAACCAGAGATGCCACGCTCTCCCCACCGCACGTACTTCCCAGGTGGGGAAAGTGAGGCCCGGTGAGGGCCAGGGACTTGTGTGCGTAGTGCACTGTGTCTGTGGCTCCAGGCCCTGCCCCTCTGAAACACTTTGGGGTGAGAGACCACGCTGGCTCTCCCTGAGCCACCTCTTGGAATCTCTGAGGCCTGGGAGGGTGAGGCAGGTGGGACCCTTACAGAGGACTTGTCATGTACAGGTCGGAAACTCTTCCCCCTCCCTGGGTCTCAGGGTCCAGGCTTGGGTAGACTGCATTGCTGTGGTATTGCCAGCAGAACTGCACAAGTGACATGCTGGATGGGCCAGAGCAATGACAGAGAGGAGCCAGGAGGCAGCATTTGAGTTGGGTCTTTCAGGATGAGTAGGAGTTGTCTGAGTAGAGGCAAAATGGGCCGGCGGCCCAGCAAGAACAGCGTGTGTGGAGCGGTGGTGGCTTGGGGCAGGATGTTTTGGGGAGAGGGGCCAGTGGGGCCTCCCCAGGAGAGATGCTGCTGCGCAGGCTGGGCTCCCACAGCGGTTTTCCCGCTGTGCTCAGAACCAGTCCGGCATCTCTCTCACTGCCATCCTCCCCGGGCACTTCTGTGGAGACCTGTTCTGCCTACTTGCCCTGCAAGGGCACTGCTTCAAGAGTGGGTTCTGTGGTCACAGGAGGCTAGAAAACAGCTGTTGTGGGTGCCGGGAGCCGCGGGCGGGTGTTGGTGCCTGGCGGGGCGGGAGCGCCGTCGGGTGGGGAGGTGGCGCGGCGGCCAGCACGTGCTCTCCCAGCCCCATGGGCACAGCGAGCTGCTCCAGCCGGCCCAGACAGCCCTGCTGGCCACTGGGCACTGAGCATGGGGAGGCGGGATCCCACGGCAGGGACGTCAGAGGGGAAAGGCCTTGGACGTCATGTCCACCTCCCCCATTTTCAGATGAGGAAACTGAGGCTCAGAAAAGGGATACAGCCACCTAAACCCCTGCCTAGAGCCCAGAGCACCAACGCTGGCCCACTCTGCCCTGGCTCAGGGTCTCAGACTGGGGCTGAGGGAAATTGGGGAGGGTGCCCACTCCATTGCTCCCTGCCTGTGTGACCTAATGCCCCTGGCCCACGCCACCAATGCCAACAGCCAGTTTTACAGAGCGCAGGCTACGCCTGTCGGGAGGCAGTGGCTGCAAGTGAGGGCTACCCCTTTTTGGCCAAGATGCAGCCCTCCATCCTGGCTTCAGCCTGTCTGGTCACCACCTGGTGATGAGGCATCTGTCAGGGCACTGGGGACCCATGTGTACCACTCCACTGGCCCGAAGGGGGACCTCAGGCCAGTCCCCTCCCCTCTCTGAGCCACAGTTTCTGCATCTCTCACATGGGATAGATGTCCACCTGTTCCATCAGGAGATGGGCAGAGGGGTAGGTGCAGAGGCCCGCGAGCTGTCTTGGCTGCATGGAGGGCAGTGGGGATTCGAGACAAAGACAGGAGGCAGGATGGAGAGGACCGGCCTCCAAGAAACCTTTGTGGCTCTGAACAATGGACAGGCCAAGCTCTGGGGGACTGCCTGGGGAAGCACCCCCTCCCTGTCCCCAGTATTAGACTGGAGCCTAGGGAGCTCCAAGTACCCCCTCCCTGTCCCTAGCACCAGCTGGCACCCATTCCAAGCCCTCCTTTGACCACCCCCAGGCACCAAGCCCAACGCCTGGGGTGAGCCAGCACTCAGCCACGGGACCCATGGGGGGATCTGCCGTGGGTACAGGCCCCAACAGATCCCCAACAGCACACATTACTCTGCCTGGCTGAGGGCGACATGGGCAACAGTGCACATGGCGCAGGTCCTGCTGGGACACGTACCCCAGCCCAAGCCCAGGGTATGGAACTAGCCCCGACCAATCTGGGGGTGCTGGCGTGCCTCCAGGGAGAAGCATGTGGGCTGTGCCCCGATTAGGCTTCTTTCCAGGGTGGCACGTGAGGCTGTTTGCATGCCCAGTAGTGGTTTATCTGAGGGAATCCAGGGCTGGAGTGGCTTTGGGGCTGTGGGATCCCATGCAAGGAGGTGCCTGCCGTCCCCATCCCCTGACCTAAGGGTCTCATCACCTCAACTGGCGGTGAAGCCCAAGGTCATTGTGAGCCTACCAGCCCTGACATTGCGTCTCCTCTGCCCTCTCATCCACTCCCTCCCTCAGCAGTCTCTGGCCTTTCCTTGAACATCTCCTGGGACGGGGAGCTCATTCCCTCTCAAGGCCCCTGCCTAACTTTGGGCAGCCCTAGGGCGCAGAAGGTTCTTTCTGGTCTGGTGCTGACATCTGTCTCCTTTCGGCTTACCCCTGCTCGTCCCAGCCCCATCCAGCAACCCTTCAGAGACTCAGAGACAGTGAGCAACTGTTCCCCTAGCGGACAGAAAGAACTCTAGCCTCACCATCCATGGAGTCCCGCTGGCCCTGCATTACCACTCTCTGGGTGGACCCGTGTCTACCAGGCCCTCCAAGACTAAACATCCAAGGGAAGGGGCTGGAGACCAACCCTGCCCTGGCCTGGAGATGGCCCAGGCCCTGCCTTGACTTGCTCGGTGACCTCCAGCAAGCCTTATGACCTCATGAGCCTCAGTTTACCCAGATGCACCCTGGGATCTCACGACCGCGGTGCTTGCAAGAGGTGGCAGGAGTTGGGGCTGAGAAGACTGCCCGTAAACTGTGGCGTGCGAGGCTCATTGTGGGAAGAGGCAGCAAATGGGCATCACTGAGCCCCTCCTCTGAGCTGGGGTCCTTCACACATGTGGCTGTGTCTGGGCAGGCTTAATTCTCCTGTGAGAAAGAGCCTGTTGTACTGGTGAGGAAGCTGGGCCTAGAGAAGCTTCGTGTCTTGCTCAGGGTCACACAGTGAGTCTGTGGCAGAGCAGGTGTGGAGCCCTCCCCCACGAGGAGTTTGGGCTTTGGTGCCAGACAAGTGACAGGCATCAGCAGAGGCCTGAGGCCTGGGAGGAGCCTGCAGGGGCCAGCCTGGTGAGCTCACTGTGAGGTGTGCAGGCATGTCCCCAGCAGGCTCCGGGCTGCCTCTGTCACCCTGTGTCTAGGATCCCAGCGAGGGGAGCCACCCTCATGATGGGGGCGGGGTGAGCTTGGCTCCCTGGCAGTCCTGGGTAGGTTCTAGCCCAACTCTGTCCCCAACCGAGTGACACTGGTCTTAGAGTGTGGGAAGGGTGAGACAATCTAGAGAGCTGGATGGCTGGGTCAACAGCGTTGGGCAGCTGTGACCAAGCACATGCCCTTGTCTGACTACTGCCCTCTGCTGCTCAGTGGACAGGGAGGAGCAGGGCTGAGAGAGAGACTGAGGCACAGGGCCTGAGTCACGGAGCCTCTGCTGGGGCCAGGCCCACACTGCCTCGTCATGTCCCTGCTCCTGTTCCACCTCATGCCCAGGCTGGGGACGCTGAGGGAATGGTTGAGCTAGGCTGGGCTGAGGGTGGGTAGATGCACCCTGACCTCTGGGGATCCACCCTGAGCCAGGTCCAGGAGGCTGGAAGTCACCTGCTGTGGGGACAGATGTCAGGTGACAGGGAGAGCACACATGCTGGTTCGGGCTCTGCCTGCCTCCCAGGCTGTTGACATGTCTGGTTTGTCTCAGCATCCCCGGGATTGGAGGAGGGCAGTGTAGCCGGCCCTGGTTCAGTAATGCAACCCAAGAACAGACCAACACGGGGTCCCTGGGCTGAGCCCCACACTGGGGCTGTGCATCCTGCCGAGGCACCCTGTCCCCACTGCCATGCTGTCTGACAGCTCCGCTCTCCCTTCCTGACTCCAGGTGATAGCTGTGGTCATGGACATGTTCACCGATGTGGACATCTTCAAGGACCTCCTGGATGCTGGCTTCAAGAGGAAGGTGGCCGTGTACATCATTGTGGACGAGAGTAACGTCAAGTACTTCCTGCACATGTGTGAGCGGGCCCACATGCACCTGGGGCACCTCAAGGTGAGCGGGCTCCCCACTTGCCTGGGCGGCTGGAGGGCAGGGGTCATTCAGTTGGCCAGTAAACAGTTTGAGTACCTGCCTGCTCTGGACAGAGCTCTGTGCCAGGCACAGAGTTCAATAATGCTAGAGCTTCCTGCCAAGGGGTTACACGGCCTCTGCTTGAAAGCCTTGGGGGACGTGACACTCACTACCTCCAATAAGCAAAGATAAACATTAAGTGTCTGCTGACCAGGTGCTAGAGCTTGTGCCAGGTACTACATCAACATGTTATTTCAAAGCAGCCCGTGCCCTGTCTGAAGAGCTCTGACTCCCAGGAAGTCCTTTCTTGGATTAAACTAAAATCTGTCTCCTCATAATGTCCACTTACTGGTTTTAGGATCTGGCTCAGACAGAAGCAGTTCCTCTGGGCTGAGGTCAGGGAAGGCTTCCTTGATGGCGGCAGAGTTGAAATGGATTTGAGATGCAAGAGCAGAGTAGAAAGGACATCATGGTGCAGAGGTGGAGGGGAGAAGGCTGCCTTGCAGGGTCAGGGTGGTCCTGGGTTCTGAGCACTGCTTTGCTGTGTGTCCTAGAGCATGTCACCTCCCCTCTCTGGGCTTCAGGATCTCATTGTTCCAACAGAGGGGCAGATGAGCTGGTGTGGCTGGGTGCTTCTGCTCAGACACCCTGGCATTCAGTGCTTTACTTGGCACCAGGGAGAGCCCTTCTTCCAGCCATGCCTTGGCACCTATTGTGTACAGTATGTTCCCTCAACAGAGATCAATATGCATAATGACAGCTAATGCTTCGAAAGTGTTTGACATGCACCAGGACTGTCCTAGGCACTTTACATGGGTTACTTAATCCTCTCACAACCCAGTGGGATAGGGCAATTGCCCCCTTTTGCCTATGAGGAAATGGAGGCATGTGCCCAGGTGTTAGTGCTAGTAAGTTAAAGATAAGATGAGTGAGGGGCCAGCACCAGACCCCTCAGGCTCAGTACCAGTGCCTGACAGGTCAGAATTCCTTGGGCTCTAGGCCTGTGATCTGAACAAAGATCCTAGGAAAAGGGGCGACGCCAGGCTGTTTAACAAGGACCTGGGCTCCGCACCTGTAATTTGTCAGCATTTGTCAAGCACCCCCCGTCCCCCACCCTCCCTGCAGCTGAGTCCTTTTAAGTGGGTGTGAGCTCTCTGCAGCGAGTCTCTAACTCTCGGGAGATTTTTATGTGATCTCCCCGGAAGGTGGACCTCAAGCCCCACGCTGGCCCGCCTTGGTGCCCGCCGTGTAATTAGCACAGGGAATTGACTGGTGGCAGACAGCTCAGGCAGGAGAGCCCTGATGTGGAAAAGGCGACTTTTGGAATGAGACTGCAGAGACCCCGGCCCTGTGGGCAGCAGATCAGAGAACCTCAGGGCTGTCCGTCCAACCCTCCTCCATGCCTGGGAAGAGACCTGACAGGCCGCTGCCACTGTGCACCTGCTGCAAGCGGAGCGGGTGCGTTAGCACATCCCTGTGTGCAGGTGCAGAGGTGGGGGGTCTTTTGGTGCTCAGTGGGGATCCTAATTGAGCTCTCAGGAGGTGGGAGATAGGTGGGGTGGGGTGAGGGTGGGCTGTGTGCGAGGCTCCCTCCCTGTGGCTACTGACCCACTGTGGGACTTGGGCACGTGGTCCCACCTCTCCAGGCCTCCAGCGCCTTGTGGTCATAATGATGCCTCATCGGGTTGTTTGAGGATGAAATTAAAGGAGACAGCAGTTGTAGAGGTGCTCTGTGACCAGAGGGTGGCTATGCAGCTGCTGTAATAACAATAAATTATGAGCCTCAGGCTGGGGCTGGGGCAGGGGTTTGGGTGTGAAGCCTTCCCCACACCACCCCCAGCCCTTCACCTGGCCCAGGGACACTTGGAACAGGGGAGGGACAGCACGCACAGGGGGTCTCTGGCCCAGCCTGTCCCACTCAGCCACCTCCCTCTCTGGGACAGGTGGCAGGGTCTACAGGGTGGCATGCCCAGGAGCTGGATGCCTTCATGGGAAAGTGTGACCCTACTTCCTCATTCTCACCTCGGAACCTGCCCCTCCGCAGCCCTGGGCAGGTGGCCAGGGGCTCCTGTGGGCCCAGCCCTGGCCAGGTGTCACCTTGTTGAGGGCCTGCCCATCCCACCTCCCTGCCCGTGGGCCAGCTGGGCCTGGGCCTGTCTCAGGAGCACTTCCTCTGCCAGTAATCCCTGAGCCTGCCTTGGCCACCCCGGCTCGGCTTTGCACCGACCTGCCCAGAGGCTTTGGGCCCAGGGTATTGGCTGTTCCTGGTGGGGTCATACTTGTGACCATGGGGGTGTTAGGTGCCAGTCTAGGGGTAGCCAGGAGCCAGGCCTGAGTCTCAGCTCTACCACCTGCATGGTTCACCTCTGACAGAGTTGCTTAATCTTTCTGGGCCTCTGTCATCTTGTCTAAAAAATGGGAATATTGTCAGTTATTTGGCAGGGCTGCTATGGAGAGTAAAGGGATCGTGTGTGGGGGGCTCACCTGGGAATGAACTCTCTTCCTCTCCTGTCTTGGGTTGGGGGTGGGCACAGCCCCTCCCATGAGACCCAGCTCTGGTCTGAGTGCCTTGGGGCTTTCCTGTCTCTGCACCATGTCCCTCTGGCTGGGACCCCCTCCCTTCCTCCCTTCCTCCTGTGCTTTGAGCCCGCACCACGCTCTGGGAATGGCTGCCGAACTGCTTGGGCTGACCCCCTCCTGGTCTCCAGGTGAGCTGGGAGAGGTGTACACCAGCAGCTCCCCATCCTGTAGCACAGCTGGCCCCAACAGCCCTTCAGGCGGAGGTATGGGAATGATCACCCCAGATGACAAATGGGGAGCAGGGGACCCAGCCTTTCACCACCCCCATCCGCAGGTGCACAGGGCCAGGCGCCGCCATGACTTGGTCACATCTGGGGGCGATACCAGGTGCTGAGGGATGCCTCCGAGCCCATGGGAGCCAGGCGGGCTGAGGCTCAGCCCAGGCTTAGCTGAACAGGAGCTAGGAGGTGCCTGGCCCATCTGAAAAGCTAGTCGGCTGTGTGCAGCTAAACTGGAAAAACCAGCAGCCACTCGGATGAAGGCTGGACCCATTTCTGAACAAAGAAACGTCAAGGGTTTAGCCGTGGGACGGCACGTGGTGAGGTTGTAGGACACGGCTGTAGCGCAGGCCCTTCGCCGGACAGGCCTGACTGGCACCCGTTGGTGCCCAGGGCTTCCTCCCTTCCCCGGGTACCCTCCCTGGGTGTACCTGCGTCCTTCCTTCTCTGATCCTGGCCTGGGTCTGTGATGGATTCAGGGTATAGAGCAGGGGTTTTCAATGGGGGACAGGGGGGTTCACCTCACCAAGGGACGTTTGGCAATGTCCAGAGTTGTTTTTAATTGTCATGACTCTGGTGCTGTAGGCATCTAGGGGTTAGAGGCCAAGGGTGCTGTTAAGCATCCTGCAGTGCACAGGACAGATCCCACAACAATTACCTAACCCCAACTGTCGTCATGCCAAGGTGGAGCAGCCCTGGCCTTGGGGAAGAGCCGGGAGCCCCGACAAGTGCCTGGGAGCTAGGCTGGCTCAGCCCTGCCCTGTCCCCACTGCCCCACCCACCAAGTACCTTGGGCCAAAGGTGGTTTAGAAAGGGCTGCCCGTCCCAACCTCACGACAGCCCCGGGGAGGCAGGGTGAATGTTGCCCCCCTCGCCAGGCTCTGACCTCGCTGTCCCCCGCGTGGGCCTGCTCAGGATGCATCTCTGGGCCTCCTCATTTCTCCTCATCCAGCCTAGGAGATGCCAGCTGGCCCCCATGGAGGTGGGACGTGACAGAGCGCGTGGCACTGCTGCAAGCCCATCCTCAGTCCTGAGGTCTGGGCTGGGCCCTGCCCCTGGGAGACATGCACAAGGCACCTCCCCTCTCTGAGCTCACGCGATTGTGCAGCAGGAATGGCTCTCTGGGGAGCCCATGCCATCCCAGATCTATCCAGTTCTCCCTGTATCTGGTCCCCACCACACAACACAGTCACAACCCACTGTGCCACCTCGAGTTCCTGAGTGCCCACTGAGAGCTGGGCACCCTCCAGGCCCACCTGCACTGTGGCTTCACCCAGCCCTCCCAGTGGCCCTGTAGCACAAGGGTGGGCAGGCCATTGCACAGATGAGCAAACAGGCATGGGGAGGCTTAGTCGGCATCCGTTTGGTACCAGGACTGGAGCCAGGTTTGACCAGAGCTCAAGAATGCCCAGCCACGCCTGCTGCAGGGGGGCCCAGGTTCAGTCTCTTCTCCCCCCACCAGCCCAGGCCTGGGACTGGTGAGCTTGGCACAGGGTTGAGTCATGTGTCCTTATGGGCACAGCTGGCACAGAGGCCTGGGGGGTTTGGGTCAGGGCAGTGCAGTTTGCCTGAGCCCAGTCCACCCCACCTTGCTCCTGAACACAGGGCAGAAGCCACCCTCTGAGAGCGGGTGAAGCCCCACCCGCATCCTCCCTGTCCTGACGCGCCCTCGACACCCTCTCTTTACACAGAAGGAAACTGAGGTCCCAGAGGGTCCAAGGACTTGCCCAGGGCACCCCACTTGGCCAGCGAGGTCCCTCCACCCCGTCTGCCTGCCCTCTACTTAGGGTGTCCCAGGAGCTCAGAGACAATGTGGCTTTGTGGGATCCTCCACCTCTGCTCACACGAGCCCAGACTCTGGAGACGTTACCTCATCCGGGCCAGGCCCTATGGGGTGGGGCCCACCCCGGAACAGGCAGGGGAGCAGGCCATGAGGCAGGGGTGGGGGACCCTGCCGTAGTCCCCACCTGCTGCTGAGCTCCAGGGTTGGATGGGTCTTCAAGTTCGAGCCGACCCCCAAAGTGCAGACAGGAAAACTAAGGCCCAGAGAGGGCCAGAGACTTGCTTAGAGTCACACAGCAAGTCAGCGGCACAGCCAAGGCCTGCCTCTCACACAGGGCTGAGTCACTCTGAGAGGGAAGTGGTGACTTTCTGAGCTCTGCTCAGGACAAGGTCTAGGGTGGGTGGGGTCAGACCCCAGTGAGAGGGGTATTGAGGCCAGCGTCCCATGTTCCAGGCTGAGGAGGGGCTTGTGGCCCCAGCAGGCGGAGTACCAGACAGGGTCCCACAGGAGGCCACAACTCTGGTCTGGGGGTGGGCACAGGTGATGGGAATTCACATCACCTCTGTGATCTTTGTTCCAGTCCCCAGGCATGCTAGTGTTGGGTACAAAGTCACGAGCACTAATTGTCCTGGGCTGTGGCCAGCTTCCTGCTGCGCTGGCTGTGTGCAGACAAGCAGCCTGTGGGTGGGGGGAGAGCCCTGGGAACAGAAGCTTATCTGCCTTCTGGGCAGAACCCAACGACAAGGCAACTGTCACCCCATGGGTAGGCATGGGGACCCATACAGGGACCCACGCCTGTCATCTGTGTGGATACTGCCCTGCAACCACCCCAGCCACAGGGGTCTGGGACACAGAAAGGACTGACCACTGGAGCACCGGGGCGGGGGCTGGCGGATGGCAGCTGCGGCTGGGCTCTCCCGCCCCCATCCCCCAGCAGCCTCTCCTGTCTCTCTATTCATCTTGCACAGCTGCCCGATGCCAGAAGAGCTGTTCTTGAGACGCAGACCCAGCCTCGTCACTTTCTGCTCTGTGTCTTCCCATGGCTCCCTACTGCCCCCAGCGCCAAGCCCAGGTGTAGGGTCTTCCGTCAGCATCTGGCTCGGCCCGCTCTGCAGGCTCCGCCACCCACCCCACCTCCCCAGAGGGACTCACGTACAAAGGCCTCTCATGCCAGGCCTTTGTCTTCCTCACCTGGAATGCTCCTCCTCCCTGACCCGGCAGCCTCCCCAGCCAGCCCCCCACACCTGGCTCCCACACCGTGGTCCCTGGTCATTCCTGTTTACTTGTCTGCCTCCCCCACACTACTGGGTGGGGTCCTTGTCACAGTCATCTCTGCATCTGCAGCTGGGGGCCTTGGCAGGGGTTGGTGAGCAGGTGAATGAGGGGACAGTTAACGGGTGGGGGGACAGACGGGTAAGTCACAGCCAAGTGCCAGAAGCTGGCAGAGTCGCTGGGTGGGAATGAGACTCCTGTCACGAGGCGTGCAAGCAGACCAGTCAGGATGCGGTTGAGGGCAGGTGTCAGAGTCCCTGGGCTTGTGTTAAAACTGACATCCCTGGCATGACCACAAGCCTCCTGAATCAGACTCTGGGGGCACCCAGGAGCCTGCATGTCCAACACACTGCCCTGGCGATGCTGTGACCAGATGAGCCCCAGGTCCCCATACCACCTGGGGTTCTACTTTGAGGTGCCATCCCTGCCCTTCCTGGTGGGTTGCTCTTCCTGGAGGGCCACAGATTTGTCAGTGTGGAAGGCCCAGACTCCTAAGCACAGGTCCCCCTTCCTCCTCCGCCTCCCCTGCTGCATGGACCCCCAGCCATCCACGGGACCTTTCTAAAAAGTGTACGTCATCCTCCTGCTCAAGACCCTACAACACTTCCACCATCTGCAGCAGCGTTTCCCAAACAGGCCTGGCCGCACAAGTCTTGTCCTGCCCGCTGCTGTTCTTTGGACACCCTTGGGGCCAAAGCCAAGGCCATCCTGCCCCGCATCCTTTGTACCCAGCCCCCGCCATCTCCTCCCCAGCTCCATGTCCCAAGTTACTCTAGGCCCTGCAGCCCCAGACAGACCACCCCTCTTCTCCAGGCTTTATGGCCTCCCGCTTCCCCATGTGCACTCCCCCAAGCCCTCCCTGAGCCTCGGACAGTTTCCTTCCCCACCCCCACCCTATGTAGTCAGTGCTGTGGTCACATAATTCTGTCTCCCTGTCCCCAACACAGAATCTCAGAGTGCGGAGCAGTGGGGGAACTGAGTTCTTCACACGGTCAGCCACCAAGTTCAAAGGCGCCCTGGCCCAGAAGTTCATGTTCGTGGATGGAGACCGGGCTGTGTGTGGCTCCTACAGGTGACACTCCTGCTTTCTGGGGGCTTGCGGGAGAGGAACCTCCAGTATCCAGGTGGTTTCTGCTCTTAATCCTGACATCTGTCACCCTGGTTATTCCAGTTCATTGGTCCAAAAACTGCTGAGGTGTTCACGGGGTGGGGGCGCGCCTTCCTGCCCGTCTGTGTCTGGAGGCAGGTGGAGGAGGGCTATTGTCCAAGAGGACACTATCGTTCCTGCCCAGAGGTGTCACTGGCCTGGAGGTGGGGTGTGGGCCAGGCCAGGCTGTGCTGTCCCCAGCCCAAAAGTGGGCACTCTGAGAGCCGTCCTTGGGGATGAGGCCAGAGCAAGGGGACAGTGGCCCAGCTCTGTGGTGGGGGCTGCCCACATCATGCAGGGGTTGGTGGCAGCAAAGACACCGGTGACGGCATTGGCCACCATGCTGGATGACCCCTGGTGTCCAGAGCTGCACAGAGCCGTCTTGAGCTGCCTTTACAGACCATGCAACAGCCTGGGAGGTGCACCGTGGTGGGAAGGGACTCAGTGTGAGAACGGGGGGCTGCGGGGACACGGGGGCCTGACCAGCATGGCCCCTCCTCTGTGTTGCAGTTTCACGTGGTCAGCCGCGAGGACAGACCGAAATGTGATCTCCGTGCTGTCTGGTCAGGTGGTGGAGATGTTCGACCGGCAGTTCCAGGAGCTGTACCTCATGTCGCACAGCGTCAGCCTCAAGGACGTCCCCATGGAGAAGGAGCCTGAGCCAGAGCCCATCGTGCTGCCTTCTGTGGTCCCGCTGGTGCCCTCAGGCACTGTGGCTAAGAAGCTTGTCAACCCCAAGTACGCACTGGTCAAGGCCAAGAGCGCCGACGAGATCGCCAAGACCTCCTCGGAGAAGCAGGAGGCCAAGAGGCCCCCGGGGCTGCGGGGCCCGGCACTGGCTGAGCGGCCCGGGGACCTCTCTGAGCTGCCGCCACCCATCCACCCAGGGCTGCTCAACCTGGAGCGGGCCAACATGTTTGAATACCTGCCCACGTGGGTGGAGCCAGACCCAGAGCCTGGCAGTGACATCCTGGGCTACATCAACATCATCGACCCCAACATCTGGAACCCCCAGCCCAGTCAGATGAACCGCATCAAGATCCGCGACACGTCCCACGCCAGTGCCCAGCACCAGCTGTGGAAGCAGAGCCAGAACTGTAGCCCTGCCCCAGAGCCGCACCCTCCCCCAGGGCCCAGTGCCCCCCAGGACGGGGTCCTAGCTGAGAATGGCCTCCCACAGGGGGAACCTGAGACTCAGCCCCCTATGCCCAAGCCCCGGACAGTCCCTGTGGCCGATCTACTTGCCCAGGATGGCAGCGAAATTGGCTGGGCCCTTGAGACCCCAGAAGATGAGGCACCCCCGAACAGGACCGATCACAGGCTGCCCAAGACGGCGGGCCCGGACCATGCCTCGCTGCAGCAGCAGCTGTCTTTGACCCAGGAACACCCCGACGGCCTGGAGGTGGGGATCCCCAATGGGATAGATGGGGAGGAGGAGGAGGAGGATGATGACGACTTTGTGACCCTCAGTGACCAGGACAGCCTCTCAGGCAGCTCCAGCTGTGGCCCCAGCCCCCGGCGACCCTCAGTGGCCTCTTCCGTGTCGGATGAGTACTTCGAGGTTAGGGACCGCTCAGCCCCTCTCCGGAGGCGCCACTCAGAGCAGGTGGCCAATGGGCCAGCACAGCCCCCCCGCCGACAGCTGAGTGCCCCCCACATAACCCAAGGGACCTTTGGTGGACCCTGGGCTGGCTCCCCATGGACCCAGGGTCGGGGGAGAGGAGAGGCCGATGTGTCAAGGAGGACACGGGCCCCACGTTCCATGGACACAGAGGCACAGGTGAGTCAGGGGAACCTGTGCCCAGGAGTTTTGGGAATCCCTCCCTGCAAGGCACCTGAGAGCCCGGAGCTGCCATTTTCTAGGCCACAGTGTCCCTGGCTCCGATGGCTTTTCTTGTTACAGATGGGGAAACTGATGAACGGGCATGGGTGGGAACCACCCAGGGCCACATGACAGGCTGTTACCAACACTGGGGACTCTTGGTGTCAGAGTCCTGAAAAGGCACCCTAAGGAAATACATAATTTCCACACCCAAAGGTGTTAAATGCCTGGAGTTATAGGATCTTAATGCTGCCTGCCAAGTGGGTGGCACAGCCCCTAGATTATACACGAGGAAACAGCGGGGCACAGAGACATTCCTTCACACCCTCAAGGTCACACAGCAATAAGTGGTCCTTGTCCAGACCTCCTTGTCGATCCCTCTGATTGTGGCCCTGGAGACCACTCTCCCCCCACCCAGCCCAGAAAAGAGCTCACGTCCATCCTTTACTTCTCCCCTGGTGACCATTCCAGGACAAGGACCCAGAACCTGGGTGCCCTGCAGCACCCGGAGCCTGTCCTACCTGGGAACAGTGCACGGCTGATCATGCCTGGCATGACTATCAGGCCCAGGGGAAGCATCTTGAGGTAGCTGGCGAGGATGGAGCCCGCCTTAGCGTGGTTCAGGTCCCGGGCGGACAGTGACCGTTGCACAATGACCTGGGGGAGCGGGGTGAGAGGGAGTGAGTCCCAGCCTGAGGAGACACCTGTTTCAGGATTTCTCCCTGGTAGGCCTTAGAGTGTTATGAGACGTGACACTGTCCCATTAGTCCGTGACCCGCCCGAGACAACCACAGTCAGAGCCCTGGTACCCGATGGCATCCCACCAGGAGAGCTCACCCCAGTCAGCCCAGCAAAGAGGGCCAAGGACGCTCATTCCAGGGACTCAGTCTCCCCATCTGTCCAATAGGGAAGGTGTGGATCCTGCCTCGTCCACCGCCCCTGGCAATTGTCAGGACTGGAGAAGACCCTGGGTGGGACAATATCAGGGACCACATTCGCGGTGCCTGGAGTAGACTTTAGCACCAACTGTGTTTGTGTGTCTGGCAGAGGCCAGGAGTTTTACAGCCTGGGGTTTTGGACAGTTTGCAGTTGAGGAGTGCAGGGAGCCTTAGGCAAATCCTAACTGGGCCTCAGTTTCCAGATCTGCAGAATGGGATCCAGCTGTGGCCCCAGACCTGGCCACAGGAGGAGGGAGCAGTGATTTGGGCTAATGACATCTGAGGTCCCTCCCAGCTCTGATATTATGATTCTACTTTTTATAAAAAAGTATAATTCTTTTTAAACAACTTTATCAAGATATAATAATTCACAGGCCATACAATTTATCCATTTAAAATATATGCTCCCTTGGTTTTTAGTACGTTCACAGAATTCTGCAACCTATAACTCTGAAATATAAGGATATTTCCTTTGCTGTTCCATAGTTTAAGTCACCACTGAAACTCAGAAGTAGGAATTATCTGTGATTTTAACTTGTTTTACAAACATGTCCATTTAGGGGACAGCTCCCAGCATTTCCCCTAAGGCACGGCTGTCGCCGATACGTTAATTACTGAGGAAAAGAGGGCTGGGGGCTGCAGCGTCGGGATGCAGCGCAAGCTGATTTCTGTCCTATTTTTCTGCCAGCTTCCTGGGACTCGGGAAAAGTCCTTGCCTCAGTTTGGGCCTCAGTTTTCCTATCTGGACAATGAGGGGATTAGACCCTTCTCCTCTACTGTCCTGGGATTGCAAGAACCCCAGGGCCTTGGTCGTCACGGGAGGGAAGCATTTCCCTGAGATCCTGCGTGTCATATTCTGCCCTTGACGGGTGTTTGCCTCCCGTATGTCATTCCATGCTCATGGCTGCTGGCCCTGGGACAGGTGCTGTCATCCCAGGTGGAGAAGCTGAGGCTCAGAGTTTCCATGAGCTCTGAGGCCCACTAGCCCCCTCCCCACTACCAGCAGGGCAGGGGTTCCCTACTCGCCCCCCACAAGCAGCAAAGCTGGGACCCTGCCCTCAGGTGTCAGTGGGCCACCACCTCCTTGGTGCCTTTCAGCATGAGTGTCCAGTCCCAGCCTGGTCCTCCTCCCTGCAGGAGAACAGCCTCACTCCCCAAGCTTGGCCATTTCACCTCCTCATCTGCAAAATGGTTACTACCACTGACCACAGGGTTGCTGCAAGGACTAAATGAGACCGCTGGTGTAGATGGCTGAGCCTTGCCTGGCTCATCAGTGGCCGTCAGTTTGGTAGATGTGAGTCCCCTTTCTTGGTGAGTTTTAGGCTTCCCTTAGGGTGCGGCCATGGCTGACCACGAGGAGTTGTGGTCGCGTTTATGATTGAGGCGGCTGCTGCTGACTAAAAGGGAAGACATTCATCTCAAGCTGCAGCCTCCAGAGCCTCCGGGTCTGTACGCCACCAGAGCTGGCAGGACCCCAGGAGGTGTTCTGGTCTGTGCACCACCCTGTGTTACAGACAGGGCCACTGAGGCCCAGTGAGGGGCAGTGCAGAGGCCAGACGAGCCCAGGCCAGGGCTCTGCCTCATTTGTGACTGGTTTTGTTTTTTTCTGATTACAAAAGTGTCATCTACTCGTTGTGGATGAGCCAGAAGATAGGGAAAGCCCCCATGTTGCCAGCACACAGAACTGCTGCCTCCCTTCTGACCAGACTGTGGCGTCTTTGAGGGCCTGCCCTGGCCAAGGAGCTGTGTGGAGTCAGACCCCAGGTGTCCTGAAAAGTCCTCAAGGTGCCAAGGGTTCTGGATCAAGACCCCACATCCTCCAAGCTGATCCAGCCCAAGGCAGGAAGGCCAGGCCAGCCAGGCCAAAGCCCTCATGGGAAAATCTGAATGATGTTCCACCCAGAGACGCCAGTGCCTTGCCAGGCCTCAATAACAAATATGACCACAACTGTGTGGTCAGCCATGGCTATGTGTGGGGAGGAGACAGGAGGTGGCTGGGGTGAAGGGGCTCAGCCCAGCAGGGGTGTCCACACCCCCAGCACACCCTCCGTTGCCAGCCTTTCAGCCAGCACCTGCCTGTCTGGGCTGTGACCACAACTGTGTGGTCAGCCATGGCTATGTGTGGGGAGGAGACAGGAGGTGGCTGGGGTGAAGGGGCTCAGCCCAGCAGGGGCGTCCACACCCCCAGCACACCCTCCGTTGCCAGCCTTTCAGCCAGCACCTGCCTGTCTGGGCTCGCTCCTGGCCCTCCCAGGGCAGCTGGGTAGACACCTACATGGGCCCACATTTTCCCTGGAAAGGCCATACATGAGGCACAGCTGATGTGGGGATCTTGAGAGTATGGGATGCCAGAGTGGGAGGAGCCCTGCTTGAGGGCAAGTTACAGATGGGGAAACTGAGGCCCATCCTCCCCACCTGGGTCACTCCCCTCTGTTGGATCCACAGCGGGGTCTTTGGACAGATGCTGACTGAGCCCCTACCCTCCAGGAGAGACAGAGTCAGGTCAGGAATCCAGGAAAGGTCACTGCACTGTGGCTGCAGATCCAGTGCTGGCTCTAGGCCTCAGTGCTCCATTCCCAGGGAGGACGGACAGCCGTCAGGCCTGTGCCCACAGGGGCCCTGCTGCCTCGCAAGGCCTCCTCCACTGCGTGACCCTGGAGCTGTGCGTGGCTTGCAGGGCAGACAGAGCAGGGGCACCATCTGCTTCTACCTGGAGAGGGGAAGCGGCTTGTCTCAGGTCGCCTGGAGGGTTCATGATGGACAGGACAGACCAGAGTCGCCCTTTGCATTCAGCTAAAATCCCACTACTGCCTTCCATAACCCATCAGTCTTTCCAACCACGTCCAGCCCTGTTCATAGACAGAGGAGGGTGGCGTGGGGTGGGAGGCAGAGCCGCAGGAACTTGCCTTATAACCACAGAGAGCAGGGTCCTTCCCATTCTACAGAGGAGGAAACTGAGGCACAAAGGGGTTAAACAAACCGGTCTGGGCCCACCATCTGGGGAGAGGCAGAGCCAAGAGGCAAAGCCGGGTCTACCCGGCTGCGACGTGCCTGCTGAGAGTCCTGTGTGAAGGGACAGCATTGACCTCCCTGCCGTCGCAGTTCCTCACTTTCTGCTTTCCCTCTCTCTCCCAGGGCCAGCCGTTCCACCATTATGGGGTCCCTGCCTCTGGGACCAGGGATAAGGATGGCTTCCCGGGACCTCCCCACTACCGCCGTGCTGCTGATGGTGTCCGGAGCTCTACCAGGAAAGTGGGCCCGGCTGCAGCAGGCCCCCATCACTGGCAGACCAAGGGTGGCCCTGTACCCCGTGTGCTGGCAGACCCTGGGAGCCCACGGCCGGCCCGAAAGGTCCGCCCCCTGGCCCACGGCAGGGCCACTGAGGAGCATATGAGTCCCTTCGGAATCCCGTACTCCAAACTGTCTCAGTCGAAGCACCTAAAAGCCAGGACAGGCGGTGGCCAGTGGGCCTCGTCTGATTCCAAACGGAGGGCTACGGCCCCCCGGGACCACAAGGACCCCTAGCAGCCCATCCCAGCCTGGAGCCACGCCTCCCGAGGACTCTGCCCCACCCGGACTCGAGATGCAGATGGCAGATGGCTGCCTGCACCCACCACGGCCCCCTGGATGGCAGAAGGTGGGGTGGGCAGGTGACATCGGCGCTCACCTGGTCGGTGCACCAGTACCAGGTGGCTATGATGGTCAGGCCAAAGGTCATTCCAGTCCACGGGAGGTCCCCTGTGTAGGGGTCTTGGAACATGTGCATGGCGTCTGCACGAGGCAGGTGGCAGGTGGTGTTGGCAATGGTCCTAGAGGGGATGGCCTGGGCATAGGCTGCCTCCAGCTGCCCGTAACCGCCGATCTGGTCAAAAGCTGGAGGGATTGGGGTGGAACAGGGACAGTGGGTGGTTGGTGATTGTGGCTTCTGCGCTCCCACTGCCCTTATCTCACAGGCAACTTCCTGACAAATCCAACTTGAGTTTTCCCATCTCATCTTTCCCAGGGTTTGGAAAGATGTGGAGAGTAGAGAGCTTTAGATAAAAAGATGAATTTGAATGACCATTTTATTTGTATTTAAAATAATACTATTAAATGAGCATTTTGCACATGGGCACCCAGTGTCCTTTGGCCCAGCAGGGTCACTGCTGGCCTCCAGATGCCCATCAGCCTCTGGCAAGGGCCTCTCTGCCAGGTTCCTAAATGTCGATTCAAGGAAGCAAAAGTATTTTTTCTTGGCATTTGAGGACTTGCCTGAGGCATCTCAAGTGTTAAAAGTCCTAACTCAGGTCTCCCGAAAGGTGTGATTTTGGCAGAGCTGAGAATGGCTGGCAGTGATGTAGCCCCAACCCCTCCTGGCACAGAGAGGAGAGATGAAGTCCAGAGAGGGGCAGGGGCTCCACCGAGGCCACACAGCCCACGGGGCACGGCTCGCGCCAGCCTCCTTCCTCTTGAGTGCAGACCACATTCGCCCCCTCGTCTACCTCAGGGTCAGGGCCCGCCTGTCTGTAGCTTTTGTCGTGTCTGTGGTCACTCCCCTCCTGTCCAGACTGGATCTGGCTGCCTGGTCCCTCAGGCAGTGGGTTCTGGGGACACAGGGGCCCCTGGTCTGAGAGAGGGAGCCTGAACATATGACAGCCCATCTCATCCCCAGCCCCATTCCTGGCCTTTCCCGAGCAGGACGTGGAGGAGGAAGCCTGCTGCCTGGCCCCGGCCCCCAGTGTTACTGCCTCCCTGGATTCCAGGCAAGGGTCTGTATTCAGACCAAGGACCCATGTGAGGCTCAGCAAATGCACAAATGCTGTTCAGGGTTAGGAACAGGATCCCGGAGTCTGAGGCTAGAAGTCTTTATAGGCCTCCGTTTGCTCTCTGTGGGATCCTCTTGGCTCTGCTTGCACGCTCCCAGGTAGGGACCTCCCTACCTCCCGGGTCAGCCCCAGGAGCTTCCTGTCTTCCCAGACTAGTATCACCAATGTGTCTAAACACTCTTCTCTCCTCCCCTGCCTTTGTCTAGCAGGAGGTAGCATTGCCTCTTGGGATTTTGTACATGATTTTGAACAATTGGAGGAGATGCCCAGGCATTTTGTGGTCTAATCGTGTGCCTCCGCACCTGCCTGCAGCCCCTCCTCACTGTCAAGCCCTGAGCCAGGGCAGGCACGACTGTTCCTATGCTCCTGAGTCAGCTCCTTGCCAGACCTGGAGCTGGCCTGGGGCTGGTGACAGCTGGGCAGCAAGGATGGGAGGGAAGCGGGCAGCCTCCATCTGCCAGAGGGGGCCAGCAGTGGCTGACTGTCCAGCGGCTTTACCTCGTCACCCCCACTCCCACCCCCACCCCCAGCGCTGACACAAGTCTCTCTGCAGGGTGTGGGCAACACCAGACTGCAATAGGCTTGATGCTGGGACAGCCCCAATGTGGCCACCTCTCTCCCCCTCACCTTTGACCGTCAGGATGACAGCCCCCACCATCATGATTAGAGTCTGCAGGGCGTCCGTGTAGATCACAGTGGCCAGGCCCCCTGCAGGTGGACACAGGTTGCTGGAGGGGCCCTGGCCTCAGGGAGGAGGGACGTGGAAGTTCCCCTTGCGTGTCCCCCGCCCTTTACGGTGGGGAGCTGTGAAACCTGCAGGCCAGGCTCCAAATCCCCGTCTATCTGGCTGAGCTGGCCACATCCCAGGCTACTCCCCTGGCCCGTGGGAAGAGGTCCCTCTGCCTCCTGGGGGGCGTCATACCTGCAATGGTGTATAGGGCGGTGATGGCGAGCGTGAGGGTGGTGGAGAGGTAGAAATTCCAGCCCAGGCAGATGTGCACAAAGAGGGCCCCAGCGTACAGGTCCATCTGGGGGAGGGGCGTGCAGAGTCCAGGTGACTGTTAGGCCCCGGGCCCCAGCAGGCCACTCACTCGCTGCAGGACTTTGGGCAAGGCCTTCCCTGGGCCTTGGTGCCCCATGCACCGAGAGGAGGGGAGACCCCTGGCTACCTGCCCGCCTGCATCACGGGACTGCTGTGGGGGGAGGAAGAGCTGGCGTGCACAGGCTGTGCCGTGTCCTATAGGGAGCGTTGCTGTTATTAATAAAGTCCACACTGGCCAATGCCCACCAGAGCAGCGTTGTTACTGAGTCTGGCCCTGCCCAGGATACAAAAGGCTGAGCCCTGTCACCTTGTTTCCAGGGGGACCTTGAGTGCAAATGGAGTTCAGTGGGGAGACCTGTGAAGACTAGTGGGCCTTACAAAACGTGTGCTGGGGGTGGGCTGGAGGAACAGAGGGGCCGTCCTGCCTTGCTTGTTGCCCCCCGATGGGGTTGGGACTGAAGCCAGGAGTCCTCAAGCTGAGGCTGGTCCCAGGGCTGGACTGGACACAGCCCCTGTCATCCCAGAACCCGTGGGGCAGGAGTCCTAGCCTGGAGTGAGACAGTCTCAGTGCTAGAATGGACTTACAGACCGTAATCCCACCCCTCCACTCATCAGTGGGGGTCCAGCAGGAGGGAGGGCAGAACCCTGTCCTGCAGGACCTGATGGGGCAGGAGTCCTAGCCTGGAGTGAGACAGTCTCAGTGCTAGAATGGACTTACAGACCGTAATCCCACCCTCCACTCATCAGTGGGGGTCCAGCAGGAGGGAGGGCAGAACCCTGTCCTGCAGGACCTGGGGCTGGTTAGGGCTCTGTCCCACCTCACCCCTAAGTTTCCAAACCTGCCAGTGTGTGTTGGCTTGGTGGAGGGGAGATAACCCGAAATACAGCCTCAGGGGCCATGAGATTCCTTCCTGAGAAGGCTGGGGCAGGGCAGCAGGTCAGCTGAGCACACTGGTGTATGGGACAAGCCTGAGCCAGGCCCAGTCTTCCTGGGGCCCTGGCCTTGGAGCCCCCTCAGGGTCTAGCCCAACTTGGAGCAGACCAGCGCTGCCTGGAGCCAGGCTACAGGGATCCCCCACTTAGCCCAGCCTGAGCCCTTTACTCCTCAGGGATAGTTCGTCCCTCCCTCCTTTCCATGATGCCGGCCCTGCCGGGGAGGCTCCAGGCAAGGTCTGGTGGCCTCAGAGGGACTGACTGTCCTCTGAGCCTCCCTCCCCCACTGGCCCCCCCGGAACAGCTGCAGAGTCTAATCTAATTCCCTGAAGGCACAGATGGGGAGGCCCACCCAGGAGCACTGAGGAACTTGCCTGTGGTTGCGAAACCCTGGAATAGCCCCTGGGGAAGGGCCACTCTCGAGGGCATAAGGTGAGCCAGGGCCTCACCCCTGACTCCGAGACCTGCCGGCTCCCCCTGCTACTGGCTGATAGGAGACGCGTGCCCACGCCGTGATCTGGCCCCGCACCTCCCTGACTCCCTCCCTGCTGGTCCTTCCACGCCTTGCCCACGCTGTCGACCCCCGGCTGGCTCCGCAGCCTCCTGCCCTCTCCTCCACGGGCTGCACCGCCTGGGTTGCGGCTGCAAGGCCCGCGTTCCCACCCGGGCCACACTCCTCCCACTCTCCATTCTCCATTTCAGCCCATCACATTTCTGCCATGGGTCATGATCTTGCTGGTCTGTGTCCTTAACTCGTCCGTTGGGAAGGCGTGCATGGGTGTGGGGTGCTCACCAGGGCCTGGCCCACAGCAGGTGCCCGGCAAGTAGGCACGTTTTTGTAGCTCACGGAGGGACACATGCCCTACCGTCCATGGCTTGTAGCCTCTCGCTCAGTCCTGTGAGGTGTGCCGGCCATGTGGTAGATTGGGGACACATCAATAAGTGATGAGAAAGACGGGGGAGACACAAGATGGACATTCCACTCACTCCGTGTGGTGGCAGCCTCCGCGGGCAAGTGCAGGGAAGGAGGGAGGGCGGGGGAGGGGCGGGGGTCAGATCACGGCGTGGGCACGCGTCTCCTATCAGCCAGTAGCAGGGGGAGCCGGCAGGTCTCGGAGTCAGGGGTGAGGCCCTGGCTCACCTTATGCCCTCGAGAG